AGACGTACAGAGATTAGAAACGCATGTGCAAACATCTAAGTGTTAGTTGCATTAAAATGAGTTTTTCTGTATGAAAGAGTATATTTTAATAATAAAATGGAGATCTTTTTTAAAGGTTAAAAACCTCATTCAGTTTTATGTCTTATAGGGTTTATACTGAGTACAATATTGTATAACTGTAATAATTCAACTGTAAACCTAAAAATTTACAGCCAATTTTGAAAGAGATGCATCTTGGCTCTGGAAATTGTTATTGAATATGTCAATGCTGTTGTAATGAAATGTTTCTTCTAATTATGGGGTTATTAAATAAATAATTTTAAAAAGGCCAGGCATGGTGGTACACACCTTTAATCCCAGCACTCGGGAGGCAGAGGCAGGCTGATCTCTGTGAGTTCAAGGCCACCCTGGTCTACATAGTGAGTTCCAGGACAGCTGGGGCTATATAGAGCCCGTCTCAAAAAGACCAAAAAAATAATAATAAAAACAAACAAACAAAAAAAGACAGTCAACACCACCAAACAACATTTTTTCCCAACTTTTTTTTTTTTTTTTGGTCTTTTTGAGACAGGGTCTCTCTGTAGCCCCAGCTATCCTGGAACTCACTATGTAGACCAGGCTGGCCTTGAACTCACAGAGCTTCACCTGCCTCTGCCTCCCAAGTGCTGGGATCAAAGGTGTGTGCCACCACACCCAGCATAAAATATTTTTATTTTATGTGCATGATGTATGTGTACCACATGCATGCAGTTCCCATAGAGGCCAGAAGAAGGTGTTGACTCTTGGAACTGGAGTTATAGAGGGTTGTGAACTGCCATGTGGATTCTGGGAATTAAACCCTGGCCCTCTGCAAGAGCAGCAAGCAATCTTAACTGTTGAACCAGCTCTTCAGCTGCTTTTAATCACCCATTTTACACAAAAGCTGTAAGATGAAAGATATCCTGTCCCACCTCTCCTTCCCATTTGAACCTTATCAGGCAATTGTATTTGCAACAAAAATATACATCATTATCTCCAAAATTAAAAAAAAAAAAACTAATTTGGTAACAATTTAGTACAAGAGGTTTTTGTTTTGTTTTGTTTTTGAGATAGGGTCTCACTATATAGTCCAGACTGGCCTGGAACTCTCTATGTAGACCAGGCTGGCCTCAAATTCACAGCAATCCACTTGCCTCTCCCAAGTACTGGTATTAAAGGCATGTACCATCACTGCCCAGCCACAAGAGGAAAATTTACACTTTTTTTTTTTTTTTTTTGCTTGTTTTTGAGGGTTTTGTACTGGGGATAGAACCCAGGATCTCATACATGCTAGACAAACATTCTAACCCGGCCCCAAAGTTTACTCTTTTTTTGAGACAATATCTTGTCTTGCTTTGTAGCCCACCAAGAAGGCCTTGAGTTCAAGATCACCTTGCCTCCGTCTCCTAAGTGTTACTGTGCCTTATACTCAGCCAAAATGTACATTTGTTTTTCTATTTCTCTCCAGCCTCTGTCTAGCTCTCTCTTTTTCTCTTGTTTCTTTCTTCCATGACAAGGTCTCACAGTATAGCTCAGGATGTCCTGGAACTTACTGTATAGCCTGGGTTGTCCTTGAAATTTGGATCCCCTTTTTTTTTTTTTCCTCAATTTATTTTTATCTTATGTGTTTGATTATTTTGCCTGCATGTTTGTAAGTGCATCTGTGTTGTGCAATGCCTACAGCATGCCAGAAGATGGCACTGGATCCCTGGAACTGGAGTTATGGACAGTTTTTAGCCATCATGTGGGTGCTGGGAACTGAACTCTGCAAGGGCAGTCAACACTCTTAACTGCTGAGCCATCTCTCCAACCCCATGACATTTGGATATTCTTAACTCAGTCTCCTGAATGCTGGGATTACAGGCATGCAACAACACGTCTTGTCAAAATATGCATTCTCAAAAACTAAAATTTACTTAAGTTTCCCTAAAAATACCCAGCTCTCTAACTTGAACAGATCATTTCTTCAGCCTCTGTGAAGGGGTTATCTAGCACTGATCACTCATGAGCAATTTTATCACTGCCTAACTTCACAGCATACAAGGAGCAGTAGCAACATTTTCTAGCAAAATAATTTTTTTTCTTGCTAAACAAAAAAGCCAACAGAACCCTCTAAATGTTGTTTCTAGCTGCAGCTTGCAAACCATTAATAAATTATGACATCAATATAGTGGATTTGTACAGCCTGCCAAGATTTTAGGAAAAACAAAACCAAATGGAATCAAATATAAGAGAATTGGAAATCTTGGGATCATCAGCAGAGAGGGAAACAATGTTTTATCAGTTGTTTCAATTTTATACATAAAGTAGGTTAGGATGGGAACTGCATAATGTTTCATAAACACTGATAACACTGTAGTTATCAAAACACAGTAAAGCCTGTACCAGGATCTGGGAAAGTCTTCCTTTCCAGTTGCACACATTTGTGCGAAGCTAGGTTTTAACATTTCCTCACAGCTGAGTGTAGAAGCAGATTGGATCAAGCTGTATTAAGACCACTATTAATGATATTTTCAACTCTTTTTAAAAAACTTTATGTATTTTATGTGTACAAGTGAATTGTGTGCATGTATGTCAGTGCACCTGTGTTGTGCAATGCCATGGACATCAGAAGAGGGCTTCAGATTCCCCTGGAACTGGAGTTAAGGACGGTTCATAGCTGCCATGTGGGTGCTGGAAATTGAACCTGGGTCCTCTGCAAGAGCAGTCAGTGCTCTTACCACTGGAGCCATTTCTCCAGCCTCGATATTTTCAACTCTTAAAAAAATTTTCACTTATGCTTTCTTTTGTCTTAGAAAAAACAGTCAGGTGTGACAGTGCATGCCTGTGATCCCAGCACCAGGTAGGCAGCAGCAGGAGGCTCATGAGTTCAAAGCCAGCCTGAGCTACATAGTAAGTCCTTCTCTAAACAAAAAAACAAAACAAAAAAGTGCAGGGCTGGAGAGATGGCTCAGTGGTTAAGAGTACTGGCTGCTCTGGCAGAGGACCTGAGTTTGATTCCTGTTATCCATCTCAGGCAGCTCACAACTAACTCCAGTTCTAGGGGATCCAATGCCCTCTTCTGGCCTCAACAGGCACTGCACTCAGATGCACAAATCCAGGTTCAGATATGTGGGAAGCGGGCGCGGCCAAGTCAGCCAAAGATGGCGCCCTGGCTGACCACCAAGCCTCACTACCCTAGCTTGTTACTCCAGAACGCGCAAGCGCAATGCGCCCGATCATGCGCCGCCTGCCTGATCTATGACATCCTCGAGCGTGGTCTGACTGTGTGGACCAATGAATTGTCTCCACCGCTGTATGTTGCGTGCGTGCATGGTTGTGATTGGTCCTTGGGGAAGATATAAGGGATTGTGCTGCGCAATAAAGGGTGTAGAAGCTTGAACCCTGCCT